CGGGGGGACCCTCGGGGGGCCCCTCGGGGGGCCCCCTTGGGGGCCCCCTTGGGGGCCCCCAAAGAGGCCCCCGGGGGGCCTCAGGGGCCCTCTTGAGGGGCCCCCCAAAAGGACTGGTAGGGGGCCCCCAGAAACAGCTGGAGGTACCCACGGAGGGGCCCTCTGGGACCACTTTTAGAAATGGATAGGGTTTAGGGTTTAGGGTTTAGGGTTTAGGGTTTAGGGTTGTAGTCTAAAACGAAAGATGAAATTACTTTGCTGCGGGCGCTGCGGTGTATCGGGAGGTGTCGATACCTGAGAGCGGTGCGCGGCTGTGCCGGATCTGTTCCTGAGTTTCGTTTTTGAAGTTTAATTATTATTAAAAGAGACTTTTTTGAGTTTAAATTGAAAACAAATTGAAAATAAATCCATTTTAAAGCAAATTTGAACGTTTATTTCGTTGCTGGCGGCGTGATCGATGAGCAGCAGCAGTCTTGCTGCTGCCTCTGGGCTCCTCCCCAGTTTGGTGCTGCAGCGCGGAACAAAAGAAATTTTGACATAAAGTGTTTATTTAAAACAATTAAATTAAGTCAAATTTAAAGAAAAAACACTTAATACGCTGCTGCTGCTGCTGCTGTGTTGCAGCTGCCGCTGCTGCTGCTGCTGTGCTGCTGGTGCTGCTGCTGCTGCTTCCGCTGCTGCGCGTAAAGGCAGCTGGGCTTGGGGCTTGCTGCAGCTCCTAAAGACAGTTCTTTTGTGGTTTTGTTTTTGAGGGTTTTCATTTTTTATTTTAATAAACCCTCTGGAGGAGTCGTGGCAGCTCTGTGGGGCCCCCGGGCGGACAGCTAGCTGCTGCTGCTGCTGCTGCTGCTGCTGCAGCACACGTATCGACGCCTTCCGCCTCCGCAGCAAGGACTTTAATTTAATTAATTTAATTTAATTAAATTAATCCTTTACTTCATTTCATTTCTTTCTTTCTTTTCCTTCTTTTCCCTCTCTAGCCTTTTCCCCCCACCGCGCAAGTCTTTGCTGCTGCCGACC